AGTGAGTCCCCCTGTCAGTCAGCCTCCTACCAGCTATTACCAGGTGCGAGTCAGGCATCCTTTGAAAGGTGATGCCGAGACCTTCTGATCTCCCACCACCCCCCCCCCCAGCCCAGGACACAACGGTGTGTTCACGAGAGGGCACGTTGGGGGCTTCCCCTGCTCCACTCCCTGGGGGCCTGGGGGGAAGCGGGTCGTGCTGGTTTTCACTCTCATGGCTGCCTTGGGCCAGTCATTAGGGCAGGAAGTGTCCTCGCCTGGACTATTGAGGTGTAAATATCTGGGGGGGGGGGTTACCTGGGGTCACTGACACTGTGCCCATTCCTCCCTCCCGATATTCACCTCTGTCCGTGATATAGGGTCCTTACCGAGGTCTTTTGCAAACACAGACGCCCCCTGCTTTACGCTTTTGGTAAACCTATTGTGACATCAGGAATAAATATTTAGCGCTGGCCTGGTTACTGCTAATAAAAGGCTGTCAGTCTGAATGAAGAGCAGGAGGTATTGCATGTCCCCCTTAGGCAGGGGCTTGGAAGCCCCTTCTTTCCAGGTGTGGGGGGGGGGTGTTGATATCAGAGACATGGCAGGCGGTGCGGGGCTGGGGAACACCGCGGACCCAGCCGGAATGTCAGCCATAGGTCCTGGATGGCCTCCCTCTGCTCAGACATGCCGCACAGCTTAGGAACGTGTCTGAGCTCCTGGCGGCTATTTGGAAGGGTAGGGGCATCACATTTACATTTTATTTATTTAGCACGCTTTTTCTAAAGCGGGGTCATACAGTCCTTGCTCAAGGGCCCAATCACCCTGCCGACCCCAGGATTTGAACCGACGGCCTTCTAATGATAGGCATAGCTTGAGGGACACGGCACCCACAAAAGTATTACACAGTAAGACAAGATATTTAAAGTGCTGAAACTGAATATCGTTGCCGGTGATTTTCATATTCTAAACCAAACCTTAACATTTATTTGTCTGTTCATCTGTATTTCTGTTGTACTTATCCAGACCGGGATCCCATAATTGAATTGATTATTGTTATTAATTTTTACCGTTTCATTAGCTGACTATTCCTTTATGCAGTAGGGAGAATCAGAGATGTTTGCCCCCACCTTTCATGGCCGGGGGGAGGCTCTTCTTGTCTTTTTGTGGGGGACTTTTTAAACCTGGTGGGGTGTGACAGGCAGCCGAAACGCTTCTCTATGACCCATGTGGACACGCCCCCACTCCAATACTTCAGCCGATGTCATAAGCACCACTTTATGTGATTTGTTTAGAGCCTGCGTGCGCTACAGGATAATTTGTCATTCTTTTAATTTTTGTTATTTAAGGTCTCAGTGGATGTTGTACTTTTGCGTTCAAAGGGAAGGTGCAAGATGTGACCTTTTGGTCTGTCTAGCTGTCGTCTATCAGAAGGTCATGCTGAAAACGGCGACTATACCTTTTCCATCCTCTGGCTCAGCTGGTATCCTCACCGCTTCTGGGTATGAAATCAGATTTGTGCCAATATTATCAAACAAAACTTTTTTTACATCAAGCAAAAACAAGGCTTCGAGAAGAAAAGAAC